AGACTATTTGCACTTCAGAATATTTATAGAACTATGTGTGCTGTCTGGGCGTATGTGAAATGATGATTGGTCGCGATAAATGATATATTAACGATATTATCTTGTCAACAGATTATCCGCACGATAATATTCGCACATGTCACGGAGTTATAATAATATTAATCGTAAATTAGCACGAACCACGATTAAATGAATGACAGATAAATACAACGGGCAGTTCACTGACCAATTATAAGAAATTAGCTAATTTAGACGAATATTCCCTATAATTGCAGGTTGACTAGAATTGGGGGCCGACGGACAATATAAATTCTCTTCAAACGGGGAAACGAACGAATAAAGCTGTTAACACGTCGGTTGAAATCGTCAGTATATTAGCAGGAATGTTAAAACTACGATCACCCAGCGTTGATCGAAATTATTTTCAAGAACTGGTGGAAGTTGTTCTCAGAATTTTTATACGAATCGCTACACTTTTCAGAAATACCGAGAAAGTCCACTTCTTTTGTGAATATTCTGAAATATTCCATTTCTAAGATTTCTCATTCTATAATTTCTGAAAAACTTAAAAATCTTTTTCAAATCTTATAAGATTACGTCCTGAAATTATTGAATGAGAAACAGAATGTTTCAGAATTCATACACGTGAAAAGTTCTAAAAGAGACAAACTTTCTCCGCATTTGCGAAAAGTGTACCAATTTGTATAAAAAAATCTGAAAAATTGTGAAATTTACATAAAAATTATGAAACATTGTATGAAAAATTCTGACCAGAAACATTTTTACGAGTATATTTCGCTTATTGTTAGCTAAAGATCACATTCATCCAAATCGTATCGTTTGCACGCCAGCGGCGTCTGTTAATCATCTCAATTATCACTTCGCAATTGTTGCAGGTAATCGAGATCAGTAAGGCTGTTTAACAGCGAAGATCGACGGAGGATGATCCGCACGAGACCGTCAGAATCGGACGACGAGGGAGAGACCGGTAGCTTCGATCGCGCCATCGCGATAACTCGCTACGGGATGCGGCTGCTGGGCTTCTGGCCGCAGGACACGCGGCTCCTCTGCGATTTACGGTGCGGCGCGATCTTCCTGCTGACCGGCTTCTTCATGTTCCCCGCGGCCGCGCAAACGTACACCGTGGTGTACACGGTGACGGATTGGAACTCGGTGCTGCGCCAGGCCCTCCGCATGGTCCCGATAATCCCGCTCTTGGCGAGATTCGTCTTCATGAAGGTGATGGCCGGCAACTTCCGGCTCGTTCTCCGTACGATGACCGCCGACTGGGTGGACTATCGCTATCTGGCCAGGTCGGGCCGACGGGTCATGGTCTACTATGCTAACAGAGGCAGGCGGTTCAGCATACTTAGCACCGCGCTTCTGATGCTGTCTGTAACGGGTGAGAAGCCCCGACGAGCGACACCCGCTGTACAATTCAGTTTAGACGATTTGTATATTGTCTTTTACGTATTCTGAACGCCTCTCTTACGGCTGCGAGTTTGCAAAATTAATGGCCCAGTCCTCGCTGAGTCCACTTCTTTGCCACGTGAGGCTTGTTAGGCTGATGGCAGAGAACGATCCGTGACTCTGAAGTCTATCTTGGTCGCAGACGCAAAGCGAGGCAGACACAAACTTAAGTCGTAAAAGTCTATTGTATACGACTAAGTTTTCTCTGCCTTCCCTATTGAAAATACCCGATTAAAACCGATTAAAAATTTTGTATCCGCATGAATCTAGATTCTTGATGCGGAAAATACCGATTGACGCGTATAGTGTCAGATTTGAATCGTGTTCAATCAGGAATTTCCAGATAGATTTTGATCCGTGTCTATCGGTTTCAATCCGTGATAAAAATTCGCCGATTGGAACCGATTGGCGCGGATTTAAGTCAATCTGGAAAAGTTGTATTAAAAACAATAGACAATTCAGATACAAATTCGCCGATTGGAACCGATTGGTGCGGATTCAAGTCAATCCGGAAAAATTGTATTAAAAATGATTGACAGACTTCGTCAGAAAATCCGATAGAAACCGATTGTTACCGCTTCAATTCTATCTGGAAATACCGGATTGAATCAGATTACGGATTGAATCCGATTGATCTTGCATTTCCACCAATCCGGTGCCCGATTGGCCCGATTGCTATCGAATTGAAACCGATTAATTTTTATAGAAATCAATGCGATGTCTATTGGTTTGAATCGGATATTTTTAGCAGGGTTGCTTTACGTCTTAAGACAGTCTTAAAAGCGTTTACGGATTGTTCTCTGCCGTCGGCCTTACCTAAATAAAATTAATGTGTTTTAGGATTCATGTTAACACCGGTCATGAACATGTGGCGCGGCGATAGTCCCTGGAACGCGACGACCAGGACTTTACCTCACGAAGGACTCTATCCCTTCCGCAACAAAGAGTCGCCCGCGTACGAGATCCTGTACGTCGCGCAATCGTTCATAATGTTCCTTGGCGCGACAGCACTGGCCACCGTGGACTGCTTCCTGTACATCATCGTGTTTCACGTGTGCGGGCAGTTCGACATACTCGCCGCAATCTTGAAACAGTACGACGGCTCCGTCAGACGTCACCACGCGAAAGACGCTTGCAACTGCATCTGCCTCTCGTGCATCGTGAAGCGACACGTGCACGTTCTGAGGTGAAAACCGAAATGGATTAGAGGAAGATCGTAAGACCTTAGACTTCCTTTCGTACCTTTATACGGAACTGTTCAGAAAAAAATGCGTATTTTAAGACAAGTATTTACTCCATCAGGAGGATACCCTAGCAGAAAAAAATTCTATAAATAACTACAAAAAATTGACTTGAAATAGAAATTTGTAGAAATTTTTATATCTTCGTTGAAACATTTATTTCTTTGTAAAAATATACAAATTACAATGTTCTCAAATCAAGAAATTATTGCAAGTAGTATTTCATAAAAATGTACAATTTTGTAAAAATTAGTACAAAACTTTACTAGTTTAAAAAATTTGAGAAACAACGAAATCTTAAAGAATTAAAACATCTGCTTACTTGTAGAATATTACAAAAATTAACAAAAGTGTTCCAATTCTAGCATTTTTAAGTTGATTTTTATAACACTTTTTAAATTTACGTAGAATTTCTTAGATTCTGGCAGTTATATTTAATTTTTTTTGTAGAATTTTGTAGAATTATTTCCGGCAGGGTACCATTCGTTGTGAAATATAATTGCGGAATTAAAGATTGAAGTTCCCTTTTACAGGCACTTTATCTTGTGACGTCTTCCTCTACTTCTTCTTCCTCGAGTATTAGGCTTAAAGCCTGTTTTATCCAGTTCGTTCTCTACGCCATACTCGCAACTATATACGGTCTTCCTCAACGTTTTATCCGAATTTGACAGTATTGATTACTTCAGTAAGTTTCATCATTTGACTATTGATAATTTCAGCTACGTGGACATCATAGAAAAGTCCTTCCGTGACTTCCTCCTTTTACAGTTACTGACTTACTGGATTTGCCTGATTTTACAGGGACGCGAACTTATCTTGGTAATAGACATTCACTGCTTCTTTGTCTAATTAAATACATATCGAAAACATCGTGGACGCGTAAATACATGAAAATTTCTCGTTTCAGCAAGTTCGACACAGTAACATTCACGGTATTATTACGACCATTTTATACGTGCTTACGATTATGTACTACATTTTCATATACTGCTACGTCAGCGAGTGCATCATCGAAAAGGTAACTCGCGGAAAGAAGGCAGAATTCTATATATTTCTTAATAATAAAACGTGATTTTGTGCCGACGAAGAGCGAAAATATCGGAACGATAGCGCACGATCTGGAGTGGCAGCGTTTCCCACGGGATCCCAATCTGCCTATTATAGTAGGACGCACGATGATACCTTGCAGACTCACCGCGGGAAGGTGTCTTACCTTATCCTTCCCTTGCTACACCACGGTAAGCAATTTCGCGATCCTTCCTGAGTGTTTCAGATCATCCCGGTGTATATTAATCCTTCTTGTCGTATGTTTTCAGATTCTGACGACGACGATCTCGTACATATCCGTCCTCGCGGCATTCAAATGAACGAACCTTCATCGACAAACGACGTTTGGTATTTCTTCGTAAATGTTACATACGTTAAGTACGAAGGTATTTTTTTGGAATAAACAAACTCGTTGCGAAGGGGGAAACGATAAGTGCGTGTGGGTTTTCAGATAGCGACTAAATGGGCACGATCCTGCCCTAGTAGTACAATATATCGGCGCAATATTGGGAAATAATGTAAATCTAGTATACTCAATGTTGGTCTAATATTGCAAGATGGACACCTCCTCTTATTTAGCCAATGTATCTATTTAGCGATATTGATTTAATATCGTATGAATGTTAGACCAAATAGCTCGTATTTTGAATCCTCTTTTGTCGACAAAAGCACCTCTAAAAGCGGTTTTGGAGTCGCTTCTATTGATGAAAGAGGGTTCAGAATACGTCTTTTAGCCCAATGTCTTTTAAGTCTATCACACAATGCCAGGCAGCAGGAACAGGGAATAAAATTTCTGACGCGTTGGATTGGTTGGAAGAAAATTTCCGACGAATCCAACGCGTCAAAAATTCTATTCCCTATTCCTATTGCCTGTTGCCTGGCATTGTGTGATAGGCTTTAGTTTCTGATTCAAGTTTTAAGAAAAAACACGTAGATTCGAATCTCGCGGTACTCTCCGTCGCGTTGTCACGTGAACGATTCTAGTTCACCACGTGCGAGTGCAGGTGGCGTTGGACTCGTCAAATCTCCTCGAAACAGTCCCCCGCTCCCCTTCGAAGGTATCCATGCTTCGGAGCCTTCAGGTTACGTTATCGTCGACACACACGCACGTTTTACGAGGTACACTCCGGCTAATTTTATGCTCGCGAGACATGTCGTCCACGGTAGGATACCGAATTCTCGCGAGACTGACCAGGGGCAGATTGCGCGGCTTGCCAGCGCGTGTTTTCAGCAGCTCCGCGGAAAGCGCCGAGTCCACGAGTAGCGTCGCCCCAGTTGCGCAGCCGGGGAAAATTCAAGCCGCGTTGCTCAAGGAGTTCTCCAGTCCCCTCGTAATAGAGAATCTGGAGCCGCCTAGGAGGACACTGGAGACCGAAGTACGCATAAAAGTCGACATTGGAGGCTCATCTTGCGGAAATTTAATGCAATTCTAATTAACATCCGTAATTATCACGCGTCTCGATAACAATTGCTCAATTGTCCTCCCGTTCTTCGATGCCTCGTACTTGAATATCAGTAAAATTGAGAACGAATATGTGAATGATGGCCGGTTTAATTTCTTCAGGTCCTCATTGACGTTCACTATTGCGCATTGAACGTTTCCGACGCGCTTCTCAGTCAGAACTTGCACACGTTCGAGCCGAAACTGCCGATGATCCTCGGCCACGAGGTCGTCGGGCAGCTGGTCGAGGTTGGCGCGGAGGCGGAGAGGAACGGCTACAAGGTCGGCGACAGAGTTGTCGCCCTTAACAAGGAACGATACGGCGGCTTGGCCGAGCAGTGCTTGGCCGAAGTCGAGGTAGAATACGTTGGGAGCTTGGATTCCCTGGGAATGGTTTAGCGTGGGTTTACAATGAAAGTCGCAGAGTCGCAGTCGTACGAATAATCGACTATGATCGGTCAATTTCGTCAGACATAAGAATTGACCAATCGCAGTTGACTACGACTTTACGACTTCTATGTAGACGAGGCTTTAGGCCTGGTCTACAATGAATCGTTGGTCGTTAGTCAGAAGTCGGAACTATGTGTTGATTCTTTTCCCTTCTGGGTGGAAGAACAAGGACCGACATATAGTTCTAACTGACAACTAACAACTCATTGTAGACCGGGCCTTAACAGCAGCGTTCTAATAATGTTCCTTTTCGCGTGTAGGATATATGGAGGGTGCCCTCTACGAGGTCGGCGAGCTCTGCTGATCTGGCGAGTATCCTGGACAGCTACGTCACTGCGTTGGTCGCGTTGGAAAGAAAAGTCAGCGTCGACGAGGACGACATGATTCTAATAAACGTCGGCGTGAGCGGCGTCGGCCTGGCAGCGGTGGACCTTGCGACGAATGTTTTCAGGGCCAAGGTACTTCTCCGATCTATTCGGTTCCTCTTTCATATCGCGATTGTCTTATTTCGAGATCAACGAGCGAAGATCTTGCAAGTGTAATATAGCTTATTGTAAATTGCATAGGTCATTGGAGTTTGCGCTACAGAAAGCTGGGCCGACCGGGCTCGGGAGATGGGGGCGTTCGCGGCTATCAAGTACAGCGATAAGAAGCTGTTGAAGCAGATAAAGGGCATCGCGGCCGAACGAGACATCAAGGCCATCTTCGATGACGAGGACGGGGCGCATTTCAAGAAAATGTTGGATTGGTGAGTCCTAAGTAAATTTATCAACGTGTAAGTAGGCTTTTGGCAGATTGAGACGAAGCTGCACATGGATTGCGGTCAAGTAAGCTGCGGTGGTATCGGTAGTGATATTTTTTAGCTTTACCGACATTTACAAAGACGCAACGTTAAAGGACTTGTTGCGCAATGACAGTTTCGCCGTGGTGGTGCATCACTTGTCCCGCGAAGGTATACAGTTTCTCGCTTGAAGTACTCGTAGCTTAACGTCGGACGGTTCATTCACTTGTAGTGTCTGTCATGAAGGGCGCGTGATCGTAGCTGGCACAGCAGCGACCGTGGCGGATCGTTCGGAGGTGCAGAAAGGCTCCTTCAGCGTCACCGGCTTCGATCTCGCGGAGTACAAACAGAAGAAGCCCGACGTATATCGGTACGCTACGTACATTTGTAGTTTTATTCGTCGTCACGCGGATCAACGAATTTCATTATTCCGTTCGTTTCAAAATTAGCCAAGCGGGCGAGGATGTTCTGCAGTTCCTCGACGAAGGTCTCATTGCGCCGTCCTACTCGCTGGTCGCCGGTATGCACAAAGTCAACGACGCTTTGCGGTCCATTTCTGAAAATGTACTTCCGGGGAAAGTAAGATTTTCTTTTAAATATATTTTTCATGCCAAGAATTTACCGAACGCACGTTCGCGTATTTGTAACTGGTGAAAATGTGCAGGTCGTCATTGACATGAGGGACAAGGAAGCTGAGGTAAAAAAAGTGGCCACGTGATCGGACTCACGCGACTTAATGAGTTTTATAAGCGTTCTTCATATTCTGCTACATCTTGAAGACGAGAAAAGCACACTGGCAGTGCACAGTGATGTATATCTTACGTTTTATAAATAGGATAAATATTACATAAGCGGAATATATTAATGTAGAGACTAAGACTGTTAATAAAACGTTCTTTTATAAAATTTATATTATTTCAAATCGCACGCAGGCGCAGTTATATACATCCTGTGTGCCGCTCTACGTGGCAGCAGTCGTTAGGATTTCTTGCGTCCGGTTACCGGCACGACTTTGCGTGGCGTTACGGGCTTTTTCTAGCGCTCTGGCTCTAGCATTGCCAAAGAAAGATTTACGACCGCTTGATTGAACGCGGTTTATGCAAAATGATTGACAGCGATTGCTTCCATTAAGTGAGCCATTTTAGTGACTCACGAGTCTCGTTGATCACGCCGGAGATATTACGTTGACATTCAAGTTACTCAGCAATTTTTATGCGCAGCAACGTGCGTGGTTTCCTGTCGGCGTGTTCAAACCGTTCTGCCGATGGTTAACAGACGTGGAAAGTTAATTTACACACCGGCAGCTAGTAACGAAGTCGGTCTTCGCGGCATTGCATCTATTTGTGACATGATTTTGACATAATTAACTTGGTCATTTCTTTTTTGTAAATATACGTGAACATTTCCAAACGAAACTGAGACTATTCTCGAATGCGGTGCCGGAAAATTTCAAAATAACACCGGGATTACTTTTCTTTCAAAGTCCGTCACGTAATACAAAAGAGCGATCGACGTTTTCGCCGTTTATCAGCGGCTAATCGTCTATCTCTTGTTCTCCGCGGGAGGTCTTCTCGGATGTCAGACGACTGAAAGTGCCGATTAGCTCGGTGACCCGAGAACACGATGACAGCGTGGGCGCCCCAGATTGCGCGGACTGGACACGACCAGACGCCGGTATCCCTCTGGGGTAGAATGTAAGTCGCAAAAATTATGTTGTCCTTCTCCCGTGCGTCTTACATTGCGCGAAGGCTACTCGATCGAAACCTGTCACGGGGCGTCGCTGTGGAATGCGACAGACCGTCTGACTGCTCGTGTTATATTTACCATGGCTGCTGTCCTTTAAAAACAAGACTTGTAGACCAATGGATTGTTGTTACAATCGTTTACAAATTATTATTATATATATTTATTAATATAATAATAAATTATATGAATTTAATGTACTTATTAATTTTCCTCCTACACTGTTGTGCAATAATAATATCTACCTAAGTCCTGCGGCCCCGATTCTTGAATTCATCTGAAGAAGAAACGTATACGAAAATTCTGCTCTGACAGAAAAGTTGAAAGTCAATTGGCTAAAAGCCATGCGAATAGCCAATTAATTTGCAGCTTTAATGCAGAATTTTCGCATACGTTTCTCCTTCGAGTAAATTCGAGAATCGAGCCCCAGAGCCCTGAGAAATTGACCAATCACAGTCGAGTACGCTTTTCATTTTCGGCTGTGATTGATCAATTTCTTCGGGCTAAGGGCTTAAGGGGATGCTGGAGTGATTCTGCACTTTCGCACCTTTTGCACTTAAAACTGTCTGTTTCGTGGAAAGATTTGTGTAATACACAAATTAAATGGCACGTGTACAGATGATCGAAAGCAGCTTGCTATTCCGGCTAAATTAAAGAACAATATGACATCACTGAAACTAAG